AGACAAATTCAGATCACCCTTTAGATTGGGTTAAGTAGATTGAATTTTATTCTGATTAGGATGAAAAATCATGGAGAGTGGTTATTAAGGAATGGATCAAGATCAGATCTGTTTACTTGAATCTATGGCATCAACATATTGTTAAACTTCCTCTTCTTTTCTAGCCTTATCGCCCATTATTACTCTGTACGCAAATCAGCCTATTTATTATTTCCCCAATCCCACTCATGTTTTCTTGTCTGTCTTTTCATCTTTGTTTGTGAAGGAAGCTCTATCTGGAATGCTTTCTTATCCCTTGCTTTTATATCCAGACTCTAGTCATTTTTGAGGTCAAACCTAAAACACTGTCTGTTCCATGAGTCCTTTCTTAATTCCCATGGCCAGCAGTTATCTCTCCTTTCTATGTACTACCATAGCATTTAGCAAATTTCTTTGGTATAGGTCACATTCTATCTTCATTAAACAGATTTGATATAATGCACATGGAAAAATAAGAAGCTAAACAAAGATCATTATATTACTATGAATTTAAATGGTATTTGTATATTTCTTATCTTCTTTGAGATTCTTTATTTATGACCATTTATTTGTCCCATAATTCCCAACATAATGCCTTGTAGAAGAAAGGAGAAAAGAGAGACCATTAAACCTGAACTGTGGAAGAAAAAGGAGTCAGGTACACTTGCATAGAAATTACCAGAACCCAGGTTTGCTAATAGGAACAATTGCTTCCTTTAGGCCAAAGATTATTGTTTCATGCTGGCTTTACCTAATTGTAATAAAGAATATGTCTTTTATATTGAATCCCATTCACCTGGGTTTCCTCTTACTTCCATAGGTCACCTACCTCTTTGTCTTTGTTGCATCCTCCTCTTTCCTCAGATATCTAATGTTGGAGGATTCCAGGACTCAGTTCCTGAATCATTTCTCTACATACATTTACTCCTAGAAAGTCTCATTCTGTTTCATGACTTTAAGTAGCACTTATATGTTGATGATTCTCAAGTTTATATTTCTAGCCCCAGTCTTCTACTTGAGCTTCAAACTCAGATGTGAAACTGCCAGCTCAATATTTCCAGTTAGGTACCATTCACTGACATCTGAAGCTCAACATGTCCAAAACAAAATGATTAGTTACTTTACACCCCAAACCCATTCTTACTCCAATTTTTCTAGTTTCATAAAATTATACTATGATTCACCTTCATTATTCAAATCCAAATCTAGGAGTCAGCATTGATGATTTCTTTCTTTGTCCAACCATGTTCAGATCTTGTCAGTTCCACCTTAAAGTTTAGTTCCCAGTCAAACTACTTCTCCCCAGTTCTATTCCTAGCGCCAATTCAGGAGCTTTTTTGTTGGTGGTGGTGGTGTTGTAGGGATAAAGGAGGCAAGGCACCGAAGACAGCAGGAAACAGTTTTATTTGGCTGCAGCCAGGTTCAGAGGGCACAGCTTTTGCTGTAATCAATCAATCCCCTGAACCCAGAGTTCAGATAGATTCAGAGTTTTATACCCAGCATGTAAGGGGAGGGGCTCAGAAGTTCATAGTCTGCAGAAGTTCACATAAAAGCAGCTTTTTCTTTCACTGTTCTGGGCAAGTTAACTCTTCAAGGACAACACCTGAGAAGGGGAGAGCTTCTTCTCCCCTTTCTTTCCTCCCCTGCCAGCTGTTACCATGGAGCCCATTTGTAACTTATCTTAAAAATGTAGACATCTCTGTGAAGCCCCAGCTCAAGGTCAGAGGCCTTGTTTGCACATTTCTACAAAGTACTATACTGGATACGTTTGTGAAAAACTAGTAAGAGGGTGTCCAGCACCTGGAGTGCTGGTATCCTTATCTAGATAAAATAGGAAGTTTATCTACATTGGACTCTTTCGCAGAGATTCTTTTGCTGACAGTCCTAGAATCAGCCATGGTGAAGAGGACTTTTCTGTGGAGAAAGGGGGTGCCACTTCAGTGGTGGTGCTGGGGATTGAAGCCAACAGCACTCTACTCCAAGCTACATCCCCATCCCTTTTTGTTTTTTGTTTTGAGACAGGGTTTTGCTAAATTTCTGAGTCTGGCCTCAAACTTGTAATCCTCCTGCCTCAGCCTCCAGAGTCACTGGGATTACAAGCAAGTGTCACCAATACTTAGCAAAGCATGACCATCTTTTGCCTGGAATATTCCAAAGGTCTCCTAACTGGACTCCTATTCCCATTTCTTCCTGTCTATAGACATTTCCCCACTCAATAGCCAGACTGAGCTTAAATAAAGAACCATATTGTGTCACTCATGTTTTTAACCTCTAATAGTTTCATACCTCACTTAGAATGACCTCAAAATATTTTATCATGGTTACAATACCTCACACAATCAGATCCCTAGCTTTCTCTGACTGAATCTTTGGTCTTTTTGTACACTACTCTTGTCATACTCTTGTCATCTTATCCTGATTGCTCTTCCTCATTGTACCATGACTTTCTCAAGGCCTTTGAACTCCCCAGGATCTTCACAGTCAGTCAAGATAAGAAAGGCACCTTGTGGGTCATCATATCATCATATCTCCAACAGCTGGTTCAACCAATGGCATATAGTTGAACTCGAAGATGTATGTAAGTGAATAATGACTCTCTTTCAAAACTTTGCGGTAAGCCTATCCTGTCTTGTAGTTTCCAAAAACATCTCATGTTACCTTACATGATTTAACAGAAGTGCTTTGTTCAGAAAATGGCAGTTGCTAGCTCTTCTGGTCTGACAACTTCTGGAATGTTGTACTTGGTTCCAGTACTTGGTTCACTTATTAAGATACTTTAATCTTAATTGCTGTATTTCAGGTAAAGTATATTTCTTTAGAAGAGAAAAATCCAGTGGTGAAAGAACAGAAGTGTGCCTTGTGAGGAACCATTACAGGAATTGAGAATCTTTAGCTTGATGAAAATTAAGAGCATTCATAGTAAAGGAAAGAACTCCTAAATAGCTAAAAGTCTGCCACTGATAGGGGTTATGCTCATTTTTGTTTGCTATAAAGAAAAGAACCAGTAGTCAGATGTAGGAAGCTGTTGGTTCAGCATATCAAAGAACTGCCTAACAGTTTTGTGGAAACTAGTGTTCTGCAGAACATGATAGCACATTAAGCTAAACAATGCCTCGTGAGTTTTTTATCTTATTTTTTATCTTATTTTCCACAGGATCTCTCGATCTTTAATATGCAAATAATAAGATATAGTATGCCTCACTTCCCAAACGTATTTGTCTATAGACACTTTTATTCACCGAACAGTGTTAACATTTCTTGAAACAAAATTTACAACACAGTTTGGTTTAAAGCAGCTTAACAATGAGTACAGTCAGATTCACATCAAGATACCTGGGGAAACTGAATGGTATTGCTGCCAGTTTTGTACTTCTGAAACCTTAGTTATGAACACTAAAGTATATAAAACTTGAGGAACTAGGGGAAATTCTGTTACCTATTACATTATTAATAATGTGAGACCCAGCACTGTTCTAGATGAGAATAGCAAAGTAAAATGAATAGAATAAGGCCCTCAGGTTCAACAGAAATATACTGCACAGAAAGATCAAGAGAGTAGAGAGAAAGAATCAGGGGAGAGAGGAAGGGAGAGAAAGGGGAAATATCAGGGACTGAATTAGACCAAATTTTATTCCAGGCTTTTATACGTATGTCAAAATGAGTCCTAGTGTTATGTTTAACTAAAAAGAACCAATAAAAAAGAAATATACTGCACAATCATATTTCCAGGTCTGTGCCATCATTAATTCATTGTGTGCAAGGTAAGTTTTTCAACTTTTTTCATTCATACAGGCAAAAACCCCTCATTCTCTGGTCCCTCTCACACACAGATTTTGATAGAATCCTCAGGCAGGACCATTCCCCTTTGTTGAATGTTATTATCACTTAGAACCTCAAATCTGAGAATTAATATTACCCTTTTTGAATAAGCAGGAAATTTCCAAGACTAAAGGAAGAATTAGCATTTATATATTTATGGAGAAAGTAAGCCAGGAAAATTCTTAAAACTTTGAGGCTAAATTAAAGAAAAAAATTAAAGGAAGTTGGCTGTATAAAAGCCTTTTGTTATTAAAGATCTGTTGCAACAAGCAAAACAAGAAGTAATAACAAGAAAAAGCAGTCTTGGCAATACTGAAAAGCTAAGTTGCAAAATTATAGTTAATGTCAATACAGCTATGCACAGAAGAGCATGTAGTCCAAGGGTTCAAACAGTTCCTAAGAGCAATGTGCACTGTAGAGGACTGAACAGCTCATCAGGATTTCTGCAATTTCTATTTGTTTCTATTTCCCAGACCATGTTTACTAATGTTCACTATCTTTAACTTGGTTTCCAGGATCTATAAGTACCGAGAAATGGGATATATGCGTGAGTATGTAAGTACTGTGGTAATCAGAAAGATACATCTTCTATATGTTAACAAAATGGCATATTGTCTCCTTCCATTTAAGATCTTATTAAACATGGACAAGCCAGCCACTCCCTGGACCAGATCATACCACAAAAACCACTCTTGAGGTCCTTGTGAAGAACACAATTACATTACTGATAAATTAACTTGAAAAACCACGTCTCTAATATTGTGCATTTTTGCCTCTAAACTAGCACCTCAAAAATTGGGGTCATCAATTCTAGATGGCAGAAACCTTTAAAGGAATCCTCCATAACTGACTTATTTCTATAGAGATTTCTTTCTATCACACACTTACATTTTATGCCCATTTGGAGACATGAAACCAGCTTGAGAATGACAGAAGGTTTACTGAGTTCACTGATGGATGGGAAAACACGGTGTCTTAGGGCCTTGATGAAAGATGTACTAGAAAATTCAGTTCTGAAATTACCTCTATCATGGGAGAAAGGTATAAGAAATCAGCTCAGATATGATGTAACCTTTCTCCTAAACCAGTAGGAGAAAAAAATTGCTTGAAGATAGGTGATGACTGAGATCAGGAAAAGGAACTGGAGTCAGTCCAGGGAATCATCAGAGCTTTGTATTCTTGGTCTCTAAGTTGATCACCTCCCCTTGGAAATGGAGAATCTGCTTATCTGCTGGTTGGTGAATATTCTCTGACTTTACAGGTACGTAGTAGTAGCCCATGATGGAGAAGATCAGGCACACCACCAGGAGGAGGCAGGAAAACAAAATGAATTCAGCCCACTGCAGGGAGAAATAAATACAAGAGGAGAATATGGAGAAACCTGAAACTAAAGAGAACTTTATGGGGTGGAGACTGAGGAGCACCTTGACAAAGGTTCACCAATTCAGATAGATTTCTCCTGGGAGAACACTGGGTTCACTGACCTCTCCTCACATAGGCATAGAGTGGTCATTATTGTCACCCACACATTTACCTCTTGACAATCTCTAGGTATCCAATCCATCTCATATCACAGCACTGAGTGGGGAATGTAGGAAACAGAAAGATAGGGAAAAGGAAGAATAGAAAAACTTTGAGTAGACATGAACTCCTTGTTTCCCTTGGATCCATACCTGTACCAGGCCACTGAACTGCGCCACAACAAGCACAATGATATTCCCAACTGCAACAGTCAACAACCAGGCTGCCTGGAGTACAGACTTCATGCTAGATGGAGCCTAGGGAAGACCAGGTTTGTAAGTAAACAAACTGTATGCCAACCCTTTACCCCAGAAGTCTATCCAGTAAACTTCTCCTGTGACAGTTTCCATATTTGAATTTCCCCCACTAAGTTCAACTATCACATTGATTCCAGGGATGGTAATAATGTCAACAGTAAGAAAAAATTAGAACTCTTGAATATTTTAATTCATTATGTCATATAATCTTTATACAATCCTAAGGGATAAGTTATATTAGTATTCTTAAAAGAAAAGAAAAATAGCATTTGAGTGATGATAATTCATTTGCTTAAGGTTACACAAAAGTCATGCAGACAAAATCTGAACTTAGGTAGTCTAACTCCACAGAGCTTAGTCTTCATATTTAAGTGTTCTTTCCCAGAGCCCAAACAGCATGTACAGCTAGGCTGCACTGTCACGATCCTAGAAGTCAAGGTGACTGTTCAAGGTCATACATAGGAACCCAAGGTCAAAAGAGATGGAGATCTTGGCCAGGATCACATACTTATGTAAGGCAGTGCTAGAATTAAAACTTGCTATCCCTCAAGCAATGACTCCATTTTTATTTTTCACTTAGAAAGTCTTACCTGAGAATAAGAAAATTCAAGTCCTGTGACAGAGAACATGACCTCAGCAACTGTAACCAGAATATACTGTGGTAGTTGCCATGCAATGGACATTTTATTGGCTGGAATGTCTTCTGTCTTCCAGGCCTGAAGACCTTGATTGGTGATCTTAGTGAGAGAAAGAGGAAATGGTCTTATCTGTAGTCTCAAGAAAATATGCCTAATTGTAGCATTCTATGACCTATATCCATCCCTTTTTAAATTTTCATCCTTTTGCTACTTTGAAAAGATTGAACATTTCCACACAATTCCAGTTTTTTGAAAAAAAAAATTTTTTTGGTAACACTATGCTCAATTGCCAGACTTCAATCAGTTATATTAAGTGAGAGTGGGGTTGAGGATGTAGCTCAATTGGTAGAGTGCTTTCCTCACATGCACAAGGCCCTAGGTTCAATTCCCAGCACTGCCAAAACAAAAACAAAAACAACTCCCCCCCGCCCAAAAATAAAACAAAGTCTGTGAGAGGGGCTGGAGTTCTGGCTCAGTGGTAGCGTACTTGCCTAGCATGTGCAAGGCACTAGGTTCAATTCTCAGCACCACACAAAAAAATAAATAAAATAAAAATATTGTGTCCATCTACAGCTAAAAATATTTTTAAAAGTATGTGAGATAAATAAATTGATGCCCCAATACCCTTAATTCTCTGAGTTTAGAGGCCATTGGGTTCAAAATAAAATGGTAAAGATTTCCTGTTTTGCTTCTGTTGAGAGTACAAATAATCTAGGCATCTATTTGTATTTTCTCAGAAGAAGAGAAGATCATGAACCGAGCTTCTAAATCAAGGTCAGATAGTCAAATGTTCAAATTCAAGTCATTAAGTAAATAAAACGTGTCAAATGGAAATGAGAAGAACTATGTGAGGTGGATAGCACAGGTTCCATCTAAAGGGTACAGCCACTATAGCAACAGCCAAGTGACACAGTAATATCTGTTATGGAATCCCTGACTTTATGCCAAGACACGTTAGCAATCCAAGTTCTTAGGTAAAATCTCTTGAATTTTAAATATTAACAATTAATTATTTTATTTTATTTGTCAATAAATGCAAGCCAAACAAGATAGGTCTATAGAAAGAACTGGGTCCCCAACTTCCTTAATAAGATTCCTGTGGCACAAGAATTAAAATCAAGAATCAACAAATGGAATCGACTCAAATTAAAAAGTTTCTTCTCAGCCAAAAAAAAAAAAAAAAACAGTCTGTGAGGTGAATAGAGAGCCTACATCTTGGGATCAAATCTTTGCCCCTCACAAATCAGACAGAGCACTAATCTCTAGGGTATAAAGAACTCAAAAAGCTAAGCACACACAAAAAAACAAAACCAAATAACCCAGTCAATAAATGGGCCAAGGACCTGAACAGACACTTCTCAGAAGATGATATACAATCAATCAACAAATATATGAAAAAATGTTCATCATCACTAGCAATTAGAGAAATGCAAATCAAAACCACTCAAAGATATCATCTCACTCCAGTCAAAATGGCAGCTATTATGCATACAAACAATAAGTGTTGGTGAGGATGTGGGGGAAAATGCACATTCATACACTGCTAGTGGGACTACAAATTGGTGCAGCCAATATGGATAGCAGTATGGAGATTTCTTGGAAAATTGGGAACGGAACCACCATTTGACCCAGCTATCCCTCTCCTCAGTCTATAACTGAAGGGCTTAAAAACAGCATACTACAGGGACACAGCCACATCAATGTTTATAGCAGCACAATTCACAATAGATAAACTGTGGAACCAACCTAGATGCCCTTCAATAGATTAATGGATAAAAAAATGTGGCATATATACACAATGGAATATTACTCAGCAATAAAAGAGAATAAAATCATGACATTTGCAGGTAAATGAATGGAGTTAGAGAAGATAATTCTAAGTGAAGTTAGCCAATCCCCCCAAAAACAAATGCCAAATGTTTTCTTTGATATAAGGAGGCTGATTCATAGTGGGATAGGGAGAGAGAGCATGGGAGGAATAGAGGAACTCTAGATAGGGCAGAGGGGTGGGAGGGGAAGGGAGGGGGCATGGGGTTATTAATGATGGTAGAATGTAATGATCATTATTATCCAAAGTACAAGTATGAAGACATGAATTGGTGCAAATATACTTTGTATACAACCAGAGATATGAAAAATTGTGTAATAAGAATTGTAATGCATTCTGATGTCATATATAAATTTTAAAAACAGAAATAACTGGGTCCCCAGGCCCCCAATTTATGACTTCTGGTCTAAGTGCCTATTCGATATTGGCATTTAGAATTATCTATGGCCTCTATCTTGAACAGCATATAAGAGAGAATAAACAAAAAATGAAATAACACCAGGAATACAACTGTTACAAGTTGAATTGTGTCCCTCAAGACTTGTGTGTTGAAGTTCTAACACCAGTACCTGAAAATAAAACCTTATTTGGAAATAAGCTTGTTTATAGATGCAATTAGACACATTGAATTGAGGTCATTAGTATATATGACCAATTTGATAGGTATCCTTATATTAAAAAAGAGAAATTTGGACACAGAGAAGCACATAGGAAAAATGCCATGTGAAGATGAAGGCAGGCATTGAGGTGATTGTACCATACCCCAAGAAAAACTAAATTTCCAGAAAACCACCAAAAGGTATAGGGGAGGCATGGAACAGATTCTACCCCCAGCCCTAAGAATGAACCAACCCCATCAAACATCTTCATCTCCGACTTCTAACCTTCATAACTGAGACATTAAATTCCCATAGCATAAGCCACTCAGCTTGTGATACTTTGTTAAAGCAGTCCTAGAAAATTAATTGGCCTGGATTGGTTTAATATCTGAAAATCAATTAATGCTGCATGCCATATCAACAGAATAAAAGACAAAACCCACATTATCAGCTAAATAAATGTACAAAATTTCAATTTGCATTTGACAAATTCAACCCCATTTATGATAAAATGATCAGGGGGAAAATAAAATAAAACCTCAAAAAACTATGAATAAATGGAAACTTCAATTTCATAAACAGCATCTATGAAAAACCTTAATGGTAAAAGACTGAATGCTCCCCACTCCACCCCCAGAAAACATTTGCTCTAACCACTTCTATTCAACATTGTACCAGAACAACCAAGCAAGGAAAAGAAATGAAGGCATCAAGATTGAAAAGACAGTTATCTCTATTTGCAAATAGCATGATCTTGTAGGTGGAAAGTCTAACGAGTCCACTAAAAAAAAAGCATTCAACCTAACAAATAAGTTCAGTATGGTTGCAGGATGATATAGAAAGATTAATATAAAAAATCAATTGTATTTCTATAACTTACAATGAACAATCTGAAAATGAAATTAAGAAAATTATTCCATTAAGAGCTTCAAAAGTATTGATGCATAGGAATATATTTAACAAAGCAAATCTAAAAGTTATTATACTCTGAAAGCTACAAAACATTTTCAAAAAAATAGAGAAGACATAAATATATGGAAGACATTTCATGTTTACTGAACAGAAAACTTAATATTGTTATGATGGCAGAACTTCCCCCAAAATGATTAAAGCAGTCTCCAGCAAAATCCCAGTTGGCTTCTGGTCCTAATTTGATCCTGAAATTTACGTGGCAATTCATTGGCCCCAAATAACCAAACCAATGTTGAAAAAGAAAACCGAAGTTGGAAACTCACACTTCCAGAATACAAAATTTACTATAAAGAAACAGGAAACGAAACAATTTGGCATTGGCACAAGATAGACATGTAGATCATGGGACAGAATTCAGAGACCAAAAATAAGACCTCATGCTTAAGGTCAAATGATTTTCAACAAGAGCTTCAAAACCGTTTAATGAGGGAAAGAAAATCTTTTCAATCAATTGTGCTGGGGAAACTGGATATATACATACAAAATAATGAAAATGAACACCTTAGCTCACATTACATATCACTCAAAATAGATTGAAGACCTACACATAAGAGCTAAAACTATAAAATTTTTAGAGGAAACCATAGGCATGAATCCTTGTGACTTTGGTTTAGGCAGTGGTTTCTTAGATATGACACTGAAACCATAATCAACCAAAGAAAAAGTAGATAAGTTGAACAAAATTAAAAACTTTTATGCTTCAACAGACAGCATCACTAAAGTTAAAAAAAACAACCAAATTATTAAGTGGGATAATTTGCAAATTATCTATCTGACAATAGGCATGTCTAATATATATAAAGAATGTTTACAAGTCAATAATAAAAGAGATAAATAACCCAATTAGAAATTGGGCAAAGGATCAAAATAGACATTTCACCAAAGATATACAAATGGACAAGAAGCACATGAAAAGATGTTCAACATCTTCTCTAACGACATCACTAACCATCTGGGAAATCCAAATCAATACCTTAATGAGATGCTGTTTCACACTACCAAAGTGGCTCTAACCAAAAAAGGAAACCCATATTGGTGAAGATGTAGAGAAATTGCAACCTGTACACACTATTAGTGGGAATGTGCACTTGCTTTGGAAAAGCCTGGAAGCTTTATGAATAGTTAACCATAGAGTTACCATGTGACCCAGGAGTTCTATTTCTAGGTATATAGCCAAAAGAAATGAAAATGTATGTCCCCACAGAAACCTGTATATGAAGGTTCATAGCACAATTATTTATAAGCCTCAAAAGTCAGAAACAACTCAACTGTACATCAACTGATGGGTAAATAATAAAAAGTGGTATAGTCATACAATAGACTATTATTTGGTAATAAAAATAAATGAACTAGTTGGTGTGAATATACTTCGTATACAACCAGAGATATGAAAAATTGTGCTCTATATGTGTAATAAGAATTGTAATGCATTCCACTGTCATATATAAATTTTAAAAAAATGTAAAAGTAACAAACGAAAATTTTAAAAAGAAAAAAAGAGGAAAAAGGAAAAACTAAAAATAAAAAAAATAAATGAACCACTGATGGATGAGCCTTGAAAATTATGCTACATGAAAGAAGCAGACACAAAAACATTCTATGATTTCTTTTTATTTTTACTCACTTATTGACCTCTTTTGGTACTGGACATTGAACCCAGAGGCATTCTACCGTTAAACTACATCCTCAGCCCTTTTCATTTTTTATTTTAAGACAGGGTCTGGCTAGTTGCTGAGCTGGCCTCGAACTCTGGACCATCTGTCTCAGCTTCTCAAGTCGTTGGGATTATAGGCATGTGCCACCATGCCCAGCATGTGATTCTGTTTACATGAAATGTACAGATTACAAAATATCATAGACAGAAAGTAGAATAGTGGTTGCCTAGAACTAGTGGTTTAGGAAGAAATGGAGAGTGACTTCTAATGGGAATATGAGATTTCTCTTCTTCTTCTTCTTTCTTCTTTTTGTAGTAAGGATTTAGCTCAGCGGTGTTTACTGAGCCACATCCACTGCCCCTTTTATTTTTTTATTTTGAAACAGATTCTCACTAAGTTGCTTAGGGCCTTGTTAAGTTGCTGAGGCTGGCTTGGAACTTACAATCCTCTTGCCCCAGTCTCCTGAACCACTAGCATTACACGTGTGCACCACCATGCCCAGCATATGAGGTTTCTTTATGATGTGATGAAAAATGTTCCAAATTGTACAACTCTGGTTATATTAGGAACCACTGAATGCACACTATGGAATGTTTTTTCTCTCTACATATTAAATACATATCAACATATATTGAACACATTAATATAGTAAAAGCCATTGTATACTTTAAATGGGTAAATTATATGGCATACTAATCATATCTCAACAAACATGTAATAAAAATATATAACCAAAAGGATCAAATTAAATTAATTAATCAATAAATTATATAAAATTGTATACATGGTATTCTCATCACACCTCTAGAAATATTCCCTCCTATTCATTCTTTTTTTATCTTTAATAGTGTCAAAAGTAATTAAATAATAAAATTTAACCCAAGATTGGTACCAAAATTAAAATGCAGAAGTACCCTGCCCTGATTGCTGAGACAATTGTTTTTGATGGACTGATCAGTTAACAGATCCCCAAACTTCGTGTGGCAATTGACATTTACTATTGGTATTGGTATTTCAGACTGTGATGAGTTAGTAGGTTAAATTTCTAGAGAGCTAGGAGATCTGCATATGGAGCCACACAAGGAGAAATAAATAATTTTGCATTAATAAGCTTTGGTTTCTTAGGGCTATAATGAGACTGGAGTAGATCATGTGATCTTGTAGTGAGGACTCAAGATGAATTACGTTTCCCATTCCCAATACGATTTGCCGATTGCTGATGTATTTTCTATTTAAATTCCCCCTGTAGACAGTGGGCTTTCTAAAATCACTGTAGAAACTGCCACCTTACATTAGAAATAAGCACTTGACCCTGTCTTGTCGGAGTCTTCTCCCTTTGTCCTTCGTCCCTGCCAAAAGGACCCCAGGATGTGGTGGAAGGGGGCAAAGGGAGGTAGCTGTGAGCTACTTACATTAATAATAACAAACAGATACGATGCACCGAAGTCTAGTAGACCCAAATTCAGAGAAAAGTCCTTATCTTCAGTTTTACAATGCACTGCAGGGTATCTGGAAAAGGATGAGTTTAGGTTAGGATATGCAGCATGGCTCAGCACTCATCTCCAGAGAAAAGAGTGATCTCAGCTGTCTACTGATCACGAGCAAAGTCACCTCTTTGAAGAGAGATGCTTCTAGGAACAAGTTATTTTCATGCCAGGTATTTGCCTCTGACCATGAGCTCTTTATTGCCTGTAAGGTTTTTCTTTTTGTTTTTAAGTCCTAAATCTGAATAAAGAAGGCACAAATCATCTTTTGTAGATTTCAGGCCCAGGTGAAGTTTCTCATGCAAATCTTATGACCTGGTGGAACAGGTCATAAGGTAAACACAGTGAACCTGAGTGGGTAAATTCTAAGTAATGAGGTGCCAATGGGACATCCCACAGAGTAAGAGTCAGAATCAATAATAAAGTTTGTGAACCTCACAGAGATGGGCCATGTTAACTACCCAGCATGGCCATCACAACTACCATGATCTCAACATATCCCTGAGGGCAGGAGGCAAGAGTTGAAAAGCAGTAGGAGTCTGTCTATACAGATGTACCTAAGTTCCCCATCTATAGACAAACATAGCATTTTAAAAACAATTATTGATAAAATTAAAATGTCCACAGGGCAATGCTCTTACTCTCCTCTATGAACAGTTCTGTAAGGAGACACACCATAGTCTTCACCAACACTGATGGGGGTGTCGGTACCCAGGGAGATGTTGACATCTGTATGCAAAGTGTTAATAAACCTGAGGGTAGAGAAATTATTTACAAATCAGACAGATACAAACAGGACACCTGATAAAAGAGGGTAGGGACCTTTTCTATTTTCCCTATCACTATATCCCCAGTGCCTAGAATAATGCCTGGTACATAAAGGTTCATGATACATACTTATCCAGACAAATGAATGAAGTCATATGTAAGAAGTAATCAGTAGTCTTAACTTTCTCTAACTTCTTCTTCTTGGGGTATTAACTTATCATCTGTCACATTCTCACCAGATCTCTAGCTGGATGGACGCTGTCATGATCACCCAATTGCAACCTGAGTTTCCTTTCTAATAGAGCTTAGGTATATCCAATTTCTTTTCCTCTTAATGGTGGAATTCGCCAACTGAGACTTTACTAAAAAATAATATAATTATTATAATATAATATATAATAATAGATAATATAATAGATAACTAAATATAAAAGTATTTACATAAAAGTGACATCTTACCCTATCATGAATGAAGTCCAATTTGACTCATGAAAAACTTAGATCTTAGTGCATAGTAATTTGTTATTGTTTTCTAGTCTCCAGAAACGTTGAACCCTTCCAGAACCAACTTTCTAGTCTTCTGAACCTAGGTCCCTAGATTAATTCCTTGAAATGGGTTTTTGGTACATTTCTGTTTTGATAGCTTTTGCCTTGGTCTCTGCCACGGGAAAAGAAGGGCAGTTTCCTCAGAGTCTTACAGCTTGATTCCTGAACTATAGATCATCCTGCGCTGATCTAAAAAATACCCACCCTCTTGTAAGACTCAGTTCTCTGGCTTTCTGGCCTCATTCTTGCCTTATTTATTTTGAGCTGTTTGCTTTTCCTGAAGCATATTCAAAAGCAAGTTATTATGATTGTTCCATCCTTCAGTGAAATTCAGATTTTTCATCAAAACTTCTGTACAACACTCTTCTTAACAACAGCTACCTCATCTTGGAGGCACAGGCACGTGTATCTCTCTCGTGTCTAATTCCTACCACAGACAGCAGGTGACCTCTTTGGTGCTGCATCTCTGTATCTATCCCTTGCTTCAGCTTTGTCTAGATTCAAAATCAAATCTTTTGACTTAAAATGTGAACGACACCACGATGCCACTATAGATTTACAATAATTTAAACAACAGATATCCAATTACCAACTTTGAAGGGAAGATTACTTGCTCATTTCTAAATTTCTCTCTCATGGCCACAGAAAGAAAGTACTTAGTTATTTTCTTGAGGTCAAGATAAATGGATAAAATACAGAAGAAAAATATTTGCAGTGGAGCAGAACAGGCATATGGAGATAGTGTCATTTTTAAATTCCACATGAGAAAGCAAGCCTAGCTCCCTCTCACTGCCCTGGAAGATGCTTTCAGACACCAGTGTCCCTGACCTTCTAGGAGAGACAATCCCTGTTCAGAACAAGTCAAATGAGGCCTCTTCATCTGAAGCCCCAACGATCAGAAGAGACCCCCAGATTCAAGAAAATGGTGTGGCCTGGGGTCTGCCTGATATCCAAACCTGATGGCTGTCATCCCATTTGTTGTTTTGTTTTCTATATCCTTTACCTAGAATAGAGGAAAGTAAAAAATCAGTAACAGCTGATAAAGGGAACCGATGATCAGAACATTGAATCAGCAGACAGATCCTTGATATGGATGAGCCAGCCATCCTACTTTGAGATGGCAACTTGGAACATGGGCAATTCCTCAACTTACCATCATGCTGGAGACACTTTTCCCATTCTCATGAACGATCAGACTGTACCAGTTCTTCTCCTCCACCGAATGCTCAGTATAGACAGAAAAATTATGATACTTCAGATGGAAGTGGAAATCCTGGCTTTTTGTTTTCAGGTGCAGTTTGGAATAATTTGTTGTTTTCTGTAGAATGAAGTACCTGTTACACTCACCTTCTATCCCAGCTTGAAAATGTTTTCGTATGTTTTACTTTTTGTTTTGGGAATCGCTGGGAATTAAACCCAGGGCCTTACATATGCTAGGCAAGCTATCTACCACTGAGCTACAGTCCGAGCCCACTAACCCAGCTTGGATACTGCAATTTCATAGCATCTCAGGGTGAATGACCTCATCAGATACTAATAATTTCTTTCTTTGAATTAGTTAGTTCTAGGAATGTACCATAGGAAATAGAGGCATTCATAAAGATTCATGAGTAAGGATGTTCATTATAGGATTATATATAATAATAAAAACTTGAATGTCTATAGGAAAATATTTAAATTAAATATATATATATATATGATGGAATATTATATACTCATTAAAATCATGTTGTCATAAATTATCTAAGAACACAGGAAATGTTTATGATACAATTCATGTTAAGGAAAAAAAATCAAGGTCAATACAGTACATAAAGCTTCTGATTCATTCAGGTTCATAACTCACCTGAAAGGATTTGATGGACTCTATCAACAGAGAATGATTTCCATTTCCCAACACTGTCACTTTCACTTCATCATCTGCCAGGTTCAAGATTTGTAGGTAGATTTCTTGTGAACCTGGCTGGGGTGGGGCCATTCCCTTAAAACAAATAACATATATTAGAATCACCAACAAATAACCCTCCCGGAACATGATAACACATAACTTGGTCCTGCTCTGACAACCTAACCTATGTAGTCAAAAGGACATGGTTTTCTCCCTCTGAAGAGCATTTGGCACTTGTAATTTGGAAGGATGAGGTAGGAGGATTGCAAATTCAAAGCCAGCCTCAGCAAAAGTGAGGCCCTAAGCAACTCAGTGAGACCCTGTCTCTAAATAAAATACAAAATAGGGCTGTGGATGTGGCTCAGTGGTTAAGTGCCCCTGGGTTCAATCCCCGGCACCCCCACCCCCCAAAAAAAAGAAGTGTTCGGTTTAGAAAACCCTAATGGTAACTTGAAGGGGGAAACAGTTCAATGAAGCAGGCACCAATGCCAGGAAACAAACTACGTGTTTTTCAACTCAGTCGTGACCTTACACTTCACTCCCCATTAATGGCTTTTTGACTGCCAACAATAATCTATTAAGTATTTGGAAAGGCATCACAAAAGCCTGTGTTCCCTAAACAGATGGCTAGATATCTTGGATATTAGTGTTTGGGAATTCCCTGAAAATAAATTCCGAATCATTCATGCAAAAGTTGGGCCTCATTTTGCATCCGTATCTATTTACCTATCATGCATACTTATCATGCACTTCCTACAAAACAAATACTGTGCTAGGTCCCAGGGAATCAAGAGTGAACAAGTCAGTACAGTGAACAAGACAGATATGGTCCTGCCCTCCTGGAGCTTAAGATTTGTTGAACTCACATTTATTTTTATTTCTATCACTGCTGCAACTGCAAATGCCAGGCATGCTAGGATCATACCAACTGCCATTTTCCTGAGTGATCTGCAGACAAAAGGGAGAGAGAATTGTTCTATCCTTTAGACTCTACAGTAAGAATTCCAAACTCCTTAACCTATCATTAAAGACCTTTCCTGATTTAGTACCAATTACTTTTCAAAGCCTTTCCCAGAACTCTTATTAATACATCTTCTCCCCCTTCTTTTACTAGAGGCACATCTCTTTGTAATTGTACCACCTTTTCCCACCTCTACCTTGACTTATGATTTTCCAATCCATTATGTCATAATATCAAAAATAACAGCAATACAACCAGATTTGTTGAACATTTACCATATATCAGGTCCTGTACATGCTTTAATTTATTTTCTTCTTCAGAAGCCTTTTTTGACCCTGGTGACTGGAAGGACTCTCTCCTTTTCTACACCTTTCTACCATTTTCATCTTCCCTTCCTAGAGAATTTAACATAATTTACCTATGTAATCGTTATTCTCACATGTGCTCTAGCTTCCTTACTATTTAGTAAACCCCTGGATGGGAAAACCTGTGCTTGATTTACATTTGCATAGCACTTGGTCCTGAACTGCCTGATGTCTGTTCAGTGAGTGGTGAGTAAATAAATGATAGGCCATTTGAATGCGGTAAAATAATAATAATAATAACAATAAAATAATAATAATAATAAAACAAAATAATAATAATTTTAAAAGGAGACTTGAAACCCTCCTCTGGAAAATATTACAAAGAATAACTTCTATTACAAAGAATAACTTCTAAAATAGGAGAGAAGGAGTAATTGGGAATAATTCTATCCTCTGCCCAACCCTGTCCCCCGCTTGTTTCACAGGGACAATGGTAAATTTAAAGGAATTAATTATCATCAAAAACTCTGGGCTTCTTTGAAGAAGCAACATTCAAGGACAAAGCAACAAGTTGGTTTAGGAGCCTACCCTCATATACTTTTGACTTTTAATAAAGCCTGGACCCACCCCTTCAATATCACACACTTACATTCCTAGTGAAGGCTTTGACTCTCATTGATTACACCTAACTCCTACTCTTCAATATTAATAGGCACATAATTCAATGAGGAAAAATAGAAGCAAAAACAATAAACCAAACCCAGACATAATTAAATAGAAACATACAGGTATTGAATCTGTATCAAAGTGAGCAAAGATTGAATCAGTTTGCAGTTAATACAAGGTATAGTGAGCACTTACGAGAAGTTAATTCCACACTTGGAAATCAGAGGATAAATAACAAGGTCAAACAATGGGATGCAGACAAGAACCAAAAAGGGATTTAGTACCTGCAATGCATGGTAAAAAAAGATTAGCTACAAGTGTTCTCTCATAAGTGTGAGCACATGCTGGTATTCGCATGCTTGCACTCTCATCCACATACACTTTCACCTTAGTACATATGGAACGATTCCACATTTCTCAGCCCTTTATACCCAAGACTATTTTCCTTGTATAGTACCTTCCAAATATCCCAAGGGGCTAATTTCTCTCTGAGTGTGTTTTTCGGCCAATCAAATTTAGAGTTCTCCTTTCCTGCTGTTACTTTTAAAAATTTTTTTTAAAAAATTTTTAGTTGTAGATGGACACAATAATTTTATTTTGTTTATTGTTATGTGGTGCTGATGATCGAACCCAGTGCCTCATATATGCTAGGCAAGCACTCCACCACTGAGTCATAACCCAAGCCCCTACTATGACTTATTTTCATAGCTTAGTTTTATAGCTCAAAGGGAATATGACATAGTCAAGGGAAAGGAAGGAGAGAAGAAAGAAGTAGGTATTGTTGAACAAGAGGCTTAAAAGGGAACTGGGAGTCATCAACAGATTCTGACTTCATTGCCCACACAACAAAGGCTTATACTCTCTTTGGTAATGTTTCCATTACCCACTGCCTTGACAAAAAAGAAATCCAATGATTATACTTTACCTATGGTGGGGACAAGCTCACTCTCCCTGGAATTGGGAGGCAACTACTTTCCTAATATTTAAAGTTTAAAAAGAATTTTATCATCTCTGCAGTTGTTCCTCCTCAGTATATAAGAAGAAATGCATCAGATTACAGCTGTTAATCCTAATACGGCAGGTAGAGGGATAGATGAGGAAAGAAACACATCCACATGCCTACAGGGAAGTCTCCTACCTGCATCTGGTCCGGCTGAAGCACAAAAAATCCCTGAAACATTATAATAAATGGTAGTGAGATGGTGCAGAAGACAAGAAAAGTCCAGATGAATAATCTTGCTAATTAGCAGGCAAAAGCATTTAAAAGAAAATTCATCAGATCTTTGGTTGATGACCACTATCTTGCCTGTTTGGGACTGAGAGCAGACTTGGAATGGTTTCTTGCTACATTTGGTGAAGGCTGATGGGCCTAAGGGAGAATATTCTTTTCTGTGTACATGTTGAGTATACCTGAAATGCTTGGGATTAGAAATGTTTTGCACTTTGGAATATTTGCATATATATATAATGGAATATCTTGGGGATGAGACCCTAACCATGAAATTCATTCATATTTTATATTTTTCTCATACACATGGCCAAAGATAATTTCACACAATACTCATAATAATGGTATGCATGAAATAAAGTTTCACGGTTGGAATTTTCCACTTGTGGCATCACGTCAACACTCAAAAAGTCTAGGATTTTGAAGGGATTTAGATTATGGATTTTGGGGTTAGGGATGCTCAACCTATACTATACTTTCCTTAGACTTTGGAGAAAATAGAGTTGGTGTGTTTTTATTAATTTCAGCAACTGCAGTTGTAAGTGGTAATAATGAAAAGGAAAAGACATTGTTCTTAGGGTGAGGACTCCCACTGACACAGTGCTTCCAAAGTTGTTCTCCAGAGGGTCAACAAGAGGACCACCATGGTTAATCTTGGACTACTAGAGAAAGGGAGAGGTAAGATTATATTTAGCAGGCTGGCTTCAAACAGACTGGCTAATATGACTCTGGCATCACCCCACCCTGTCTGTCTTCTTCAGAACTATAATATCATAACCTAGGAAGTAGAACAGTTGAGAGCAGTGATGATACTTTGAGTGAACTGAAGAACAGCAATTGGAAAAAGAGAAAAGAATATTTAAAACTTTGCCATTCTTTCCATATCCTTATACAAAATGTTCTACCTCTCACAGGTCCCCTGCTGGGTCATGCCTGAGAGATGGAACCAGTTGTGTAATAACACCAATCAAACCTGTCCCTGCTTATGTTCTAGGATTAGCTAGAAGAAAATCTCCACCCCAGGTCTGTATCACTTCATTTGATATCCCAGTATCTAGCTACATCCTGGTATACTTATTTCTCATCCTTATGTTCCTGATTTCTAAAGATAAAGTTCTGGTTTTTATTTCATTGTCTGCTTAATGCCTAGGCTACATACACCTCTAAAATGATACTGTATTGATTTTTAGGCAAAAACACAAATAAATTAAATTTTCTTCAATATGGATTATGAAAAAAATAAACCTCTCTCAAAAATCTCTTCTACTCACCAAATTCCCATTCATCTTAGTGGCTTGCAGGGTCCATCGTGAGCCCTGGGGCAGACAAATGTTAATAAGTTAAATTTCTATTCTATGGGAGTAAAGTAGTGGAAGAAGGAGTAGCTTTCAAAAGGACTATTCTTACCTGCTGGTCCAAAAGAGCCCAGAACATGGGCAATGGAATATAAAGGAACAGTATCCTAGTCAGTGCCTTCACATCCATAATGAGATGCTTCTGCAGGGAGGAAGAAAGAATGGGCAGAATTGCCAGAAGTTCCACTTAGAACAGAAGTGCCCAAAAGCAGAAAGAGAAAAGAGTCAAAAACACAGGAGAAGATGTATTTGGAAGACCCCATAGAGCAAGGAGACTTCTGCAGTGTTCACTTACTGGGTACTTCTCAGAGGCCCAGTCCAGCCAGTGCTGTCGCTTTGGAATATCCCCAGAACGGTTCTTGAAGCGGTTGGAAATAGCAAACTAGGGCACAGCATAGATATCAAGTGAGAGAAAAAGATAAACCATTCTTTGCCTTTTCCAATTCTTTTTTCTTTTCCCTCTCACACACATACCTTTTGTGACCTATTCTAACTCTTTGATCTCATTAGACATTGAATTTCAGAATACTTAAGATATAAATTTATATTTTTTCCCATCAACATCTACATAACTACATATCAGAATATTTTTGCCAATTTCAAAAATGATTATGCTATTTTTTATTTAATGGTTAAGTAGAGATATGGAGGAAAATCAATTAGTCTCAGCTTGTCAAAAACCATGCATGTAGAACAGAGATCACAGAGAAAAATAAAAGGCCATTTTCAAAGGTGTATACACTCAGCATAGCATCCCTTTATTCTTTTGATTGCAAAAGGTAGGTACTTACCCAGATACATTTCATAACTTGAGCCACTATGTTTCCTTCAGGAGGTGGTTTTTTGTACATTTTGCTTCCCATTGCAAACACAACTGCAATTGATACACAAACAATGTTCTTAGCATGTCATTTGATGTACTTGGTGCATCAATGCTGAACTGTAGGAGTGATGGGTAAATCTCATAAAGAGATTACACTTCCTGACTTTGATGTTATAAAAATTACAAGCCAAGAAGAGATAAAATAGTCAACTTGTATCTATTGAGACTTTCATGTAGTCACAGAGATGTAAGTCATCTTTGGCTTCTCATTCTTCTTTCTCCGTCCTCATATCTGATGTTACCAACTTTCATAGATCCCCTTTCTTCAATGTACTGTCCATTGGCCCCATTTAGGTTACCATTGCTCCCACCCCTTGTACAGACTTTCCAACTTTCTACCCTTGATTTTGAAATGGCCACTAACTTGTTTTTTATCCTCTGATCTCTTCCTTTTTAAATCTGATGCCAAATTAAAACTTTCTTTCCAGAATCTACCTGAATTCCTAGCAGGAAAGATTCTCTCAAATTCATTATTAACCTACCATAGGAAAGGTTATTTGAACATGTAAATTATTAAGCATTTTACATACATCAACTGATTTAACCTGACAAAATATACATATCATTATCTTATACACAAATAAATCAAAGATTAAAAAATTAACCAACTTGGGCTACAGATGTAGCTCAGAGGTAGTGCACTTGCCAAGAATGTGCAAAGCCCTGGGTTTGGTCCCTAGTATCACTAAACCAAACCAAACCAAACCAAACCACAGTAAACAAAAAAAGTACCATGTGTAAAGTTATACAACTAGAAATTGTCAGGATTTTTTTTTCACCCGAGACCATTTTGATTCAAAAATCCATGCTCTCAACTACATAAAGCATCATACACTGTACTAGATACTACCAGGAATACAGGTGAAAGGCATGGCTCCTGTCCTCAAAGGACACCTCAGCCTACTATTTTTTTTTAATGTTTGTATTATTGCATTAAAGTTATACATAATAGTGGGGTTCATATTGACATATTCATAAATGCACATAACATAGTTAGCTCCATTTCAGGCTTCAGTAGTTTCTCTTTCCACCAACAATGCATGAATATCCAATACCTCACCCCCACACATCCTCACCAGCAATTAACATTAGTTGTATTTTTGCTAATTGCCATTCTAACTGTGGTGAGATAAAATCTTAGTGTATTTTTTATTTGCATATATTTTTAAATTTCCATATATTTGTTGGCCAATTATATTTTTTCTTTTGAGAAAAGTCTATTTAGATCTTTTGCTCATTTATTAAATTATTAGTTTTTTGATTTTTAAAAATTTTTTTATATATTCTGGTTATTAATCTCCTATGGAAGAGTAAGTGGCAAAGATTTTTTTTTTCCCTCAACCTACTGCTTCTCACCTTATGTTTCATTACTCTTCTTTAGGTACATTATGCTCTAACCACTATTCATCATTCTTACACAAAATTATATTCTGTACCATTTGTATTCTTTTTTTAAACATTGCTTAGTTGTCAATAGACCCTTTTTTGCTTGTTTATATGTGGTGCTGAGAATCGAACCCAGTGCCTCACACATGCTAGGCAAGCTCTCTACCACTGAGCTAAAACTCCAGTCCGCATTTCTATTCTTAAGCTCCTCCTGTTTTCCATAACCTACATCTGTATTTCTTATTTCCCTTTTATTTTTCGAGTTATTGGCAATAATTTTATGATTATGAAATTTTTATGATTATAAAATAGTAAGTGCCATATTTTTCAAGTTTACTAAGCTTCAATTAAAATCAGTGGAAAGATTTCATCTTGGTTCCTCTCTACGTATTTTGCCCTTTAACAAATTTCCCATCTCCAGCAAGATGCCTCTCTAATACATTTCTGCTAAAGTTGGCTTTCTCAGTCACCAGTAGCATTTTCCAATATCCTTACATAACAGAACTCATGAGTCACCTTACTTTTTTCCCTTTTGCTTCATAATTTCTTCATCTTCAATCAGATTAAGTCTACAACGTCCTCTCAGTTTCCCCAAAGCTTCTTCAAACAGCATTCATTATCTATCATGACCTTCTTATTGTTGAAATAAAGAGTTCAGGAAAAGAATGATAATGCTGAGAATGAAGTGGTCAGATGAAGAGGTACAAAAGAAAGATTTTGCATGGGAAATAAACTGCTTATGAAACTAAGAATGATCTAGGATAGGCCTTGATCCCTATGATAAAGGATGGCTTGTAATCAACTTGATAATGTCACACTTAAATTTTAAGGTCATTTATCTGAAGGAGTCAGAAATGTGTTTCTATACTATCTCCTCCCTCTAAGAGATGAAGTTGCTTACTACACGAAGAAAACTGAAGTCTTCAATGGAAATTCCATTTTCTATCACCACATCCATTAATTCCTGTGTCCACATGCATCTTTTCCTTCCTCCATTTAGGTGAAGGTGATGTTCCTCCTCTGTCTAAAGCTCATTCTTCCATGTGGCTTTCGTACCAATGATACTGTCCTTCTTTTTTCATCTTCAACCTGTTTCTATACTGGATTCTTCGTAATAATATTTGGGCTCAATATCTCATCTCTTGAATTCCTATCACATTCCAGCACAAATACTTGCTGTTTTCACTTTTTAAACCTTATTCACTTCCAAATTACTCCAATCAGTCTGATATCACCATATCAATGACATCCTTGTTGCTATATGGATATTTTCACTTTTAGCTTCTCACCCAATAACACCTGTCACTCTGAACAAGTCCCTTCTTGAAATCCTCTTTGTATTCAGTATAGCAGGATTACCGCTGTGGCCATCCCTTCTAAATTTCATTTGTAGAATTTTCCTCTTTGCCTGTCCTTTATATGCTTGTGTGCCTTGAGGTTTGGTCCAAGGACTTCCTTTTATCTTATTTTAATTATCTCTTCTTTATCTGTGCTCAAGATTTAATTGCTATCCATGTACTCATGACTCCAGGTCTATATCTATAGCTCAAACAATTCCTCAGAGTCCTAAACCCGTTATTTCCAAATAACTATTTGTTGATTATAATTGTTTCAAGAACACCTAAAATGCAGCATATCTCAAACAAAATTCATCAACATTGCCTGTTCTCCCTCACTATCTCATTTGACAACCTCACTATCTACCCAATTGTTTGAGCCAGAACTCTGCATCCAACACTGACTTATCTTCTCCCTTATTTAACATCTTTAATCATACCTAGGCTTGTTAATTCTACCAGGGCCTCCTTAGTGAGTTGCATAAGGCACTTGCCTTGAGCACAAAATTTAAGGGAGTGCCCAAAGTGCCATAATCAAGATAAATATTATCCTTGCCTCACCTTAAACCCAACCTTTCTCCATATTACAGAGACACCATTACAAAATAAAAATCTAACAATCATTCTTCTGTTAAAAACCTTTTTCTTTGTTGATTCCCATTTGCTTAAAGTAAACTTCATTGTCTGGTTTCTGCCAATTTCTTCTTTTTATCTTTCTCATTTATGCTCCAGGTAATCTGAATTCCTTTGAGACCTTCCAACATATCATACTATCTTTCACCTTGTCTTACAAGTATCATGTTCTCTTTCTGAATCACTTACATTCCATTTTTTGGTTAATTGCTGCTCATTCCTGAGGTCTTCCCTTAGAACTAATTTCTTTAGGCAAACATTTTACAACTTTCAGTCTTAATCAACCATCCCTTCTATGAACTCTCTCTCTCTCTCTTTCCTTCTTCAGTTGTGACACTGACCATACTATACCGTCAATTTCTGTTTCCTTATTTGTCTTCCACTCCCTACTAGACAATTTAACTTCCTGCAGAGAGTGAACTGTATAGTTGTCTAATTTACCAATGTGGCCCCAATACCTAACACAAAATCTGTCACATAATAGATATCAATAGCACTCAGAAAACTAAAGCAGCCAACTAATAATGACATCCCTTATGTAACATTTCAATTTATAAAACATTTCACTGGCAGCATCTCTTTTGAGCTTCACAATTACTTGATATGTAAATTTCCTTATTGTGCAATGACCTAGAGAAGGAGTTATAGTACTAATCAGTGGAAAATCAAAAAATACTTGAGAAAATATTTGGCATTGAAGGGAGAAGGAAGCAGAGAGTGTATGCTCATAGCTCTCCTGGAATACATTTCCTTGGAATTGAGAACTCTGAGAATCACTACCAGCCCTGATTCAATCCCAGTAGAAAATGAGCAGACTGAACATGGAGTCTCTGGACTCCTTGTCCTCTCTGGAGCCCTTTATGTGTTTGGACTGGCTATCTTCCGAGGAGGCGTCACCCTGAGTCTCAGAGTGAGAACAGGTTTCCAGGTCAATGATTAGAAACAATCATGCCCAAGTTTCCCTGTGGCCCGCCTAAACTAAGTAACCCACATATACTCCTCCTCTTCCAGGGTTTTTTAAGGTAAAGAGGATGCCACTTGATCTAAGTTGTGTTACTTTCCAACTACTTATTCTCCTCTTCTTATTCTCCTTGTTCCAAGAACAAAGTCTTTGGGAACATTGAAGAACAGGGCAAATATAGTTAAACCTAGAAACTGCTTTAAAAGGCCCACAGAACTGAAAATTCCATCTATTTAGCAAATAAATAAGTAACAACTGATATAAATTAGTTTGTGAGAGGATTAATTATCTCATTCCTTCCTTATAGCCTTGACTACACATTAGAATCACTTGAGATACTCTCAAACTTATAGATTCCCAGACCCCTGATAGGTCCTACATGTGGTCCAGAGACTGACTTTTTTATGGGTCCTTAAAAACTTCCTATCAGTTATGGAACAGTGGGCACCTCTTTTTTTTTAAAGAGTTCTGACTTCATTCATAATTTATCTCCAAAGTCAAGGGAAACCTCCTACAATAACACTTACCTGGAACATTAGCATGAAGGGTGAATGAAGTAGTTTGTGTAAAGTGCCTACAAGACGCTCTTCCAATTGAAGGCATCAGTGATTCTTAGTTTCTTTCCATTGCTAGCTGTACTTACCCAGTGCGATTACCATGAGCAGTCCTGGAACTCCAAAAGCCAATGCGTAGCAGTCGTCTCCAAAACACTGCACATCTCCTGAAGAAAATTGGGGGAAAAAATTAAAAAGTAACTCTGGATCTTGACTCTTCAATATTTTATTCTATTTTATTCTTGATGTAGACACCACCATCCCTTTTCCTCCCATCACCCCTTTTTTGGTTTGTTTGTTTTTTGTTTTTTGGCCAGATAAATTCGAACTAAAAGAAATTATCACGGATTTCCAAGCCATTATAAAAGGAGAAGATGGACTCCAGGAAGCTTTGAACAGCTTTTTGGCTGGCCAGAGTAAAGCCTTACACAGCTTCCCCAACACCACCCCCTCCCCCTCCCCCACCGACTTTCAAGAGAGGATCCTAACCTCTCAGCATGGGTGTGATAAACGTAGAAATCAAGCTCCCTGCATTGATGGAGAGATAGAAGACTGAGAAGTATCTTGTCCGTTCCTCTGCCTAAAACAAACAGGATAAATCATCAGTGTAAAGTGCCTCTAGCTCCATCTCCCCCACATGTTTAGATTTAGGTAGAGGTACATACAGAGAGAGAGATTCAGACACTGCCTCCATAGTATCTGAACATCCCATTAGATACTTAATAACCCCAGACACACATTTACTTATCTTTCAAACTCCAGTATGAGCAGCTTTAACATTTTTATACCTGAGCAAAAATGCTCATTCTGCCCTCAATGCCTGTACATATCTACTTTAACATTAATTTCTTTACATTATAAGTCTTTGTTTCCATTGGCTTTGTGTTCCTTTAGGACAGAAATTGTACCTTACTCATTCCTGTAATCCCTAATTCTTAGAACAGCATTTGACAGATATTAAAGACTTAATAAATGTTTATTGACCGTATTATTTAAGTAAATGATAGATTTTGTGGACTGTATGATAGGAATGGAACCAAAACACAAGGCAGTTCAGTAAACTGTTGACCAAGCAGGATGGAAGATTTGCCAGTGAATACAAAAAGACATCAGTGGGCTTAGAAGTGGCCGGGAAAAGTTTGGAATTGGGTTTGTCCTATTAAATAAAATATATTTGTGAACCAGCTACTTAATAAAACACCTTTCAAGGAAAGTTGCTGATGAATGATTCATTATACATTGCTGTGCTTCTTTCTGGCACCTCGCATCTTTTCCTGACACAGTAGCACAATCAGTCCTTCCTCATGTTTAATTTATAATGTGCTTTGCTTCTTTTTCTGGTTCCCATTTAAACCTATTCCACTAATCTAATTTGTATAGCTCCATGTACATAGAATCCCACTTGCCAAACTCGGTTATTTTCCCAAGGTCAGCAAGTAATGAGGATCTATGGACTCTTGCACAGATAAAAAGTATAAAATAATCTAAATGGTATGATGGTAAGAGAAACACAGGAAGACAGGAGACACAGAAAAAAAGCAGAAAGAGACAGTAGGTACTATGTAAGAGAGAGGCTGGGGGAGGAAGGAGAGACAGAGGGAGACGGGAAGAGAGAGAGAAAGAGAAACATGATAAATAGCTACAAAATAAGGAATAGATACATGAACACACACATACAAAAAAAGGAAATTAAGAGCAAAAGATAGGAAGACAGAAATGTTGGCTAAGAATAGACTCTTCTCTTACATCATAGCTCCCTCATATGGGCTCATTTACCTTGGTCATATTGCTGTTTTTCTCCACTGACCATGGAAAGCATTTAGGGAAAGAGGGAACAATCAGCCAGGCAAATTCCTCTATGGAAAGTTATTCTATTTCATTCCATTTAGTCTTTTCCCCCCCTCACAAAAATCTCAGAAACTAGACATGCTTACATCATCTCCACACCACTCAATAGCTCCCACTCTCAAAAGGCTTACCTTGCTTCTTAAATACCTCAAGAGCCGTCAACTCACTACCTCCAACTCCTACTGCTTGAAGTTTTTCCTTCCATCAATCAAACAGCTCACTTCCTTTAGCTTTCACTCATTGGTCTCAGGTTTATACACTAACATCCTTTCAACATCTATAAACAACTACTGTATGATATTTTCCTTTATTGTTATCCAAGGTAACTCTCCTCATTTCCCTCAATCTTTCCTCATACGTATTTTACTCCATCTTCCCCCCAGTTACTTTTCTTTGGATGTGTTTCAGTTTTTCTATTAGGGACCAGTATCCAGCATTGGACACAATTCTTCAGACAGGATCTAATCAGTGGACGACTTCAATCTTAGTGAATCCAGGTACCCCCTTTTAATACTGGCTCTTCAGTCTTGAAAATACGGGGGTGGGCGGGGGGGGGACAAAAAACAGGACTCTTACATGTTCTTCTTCAAACTGGTCTCCACCGAAAGCTGCCACACAGGGTTTGATACCTCCTGTCCCCAAAGCTATTAGACTCAGACCAATCAATGATAGGATTCTGAAATGAAAAGTTTAGGATGCTAATAATTTTAATATTGAACACAACTGCAGAGATGGAATAGTGTGCTAAAGACAGGGAGAAATGTACACAAGGGCAAAGACCCTCTTCACATTTCTACCCGGTGGGTGAGCACTTTCCATTTGCCTTTACTCCAAGAAATATTCATGGGCACTTAACTGTCTTTATGACGCTTGAGCATACTTTGTGCTAGTATATGCATGGGAAGATATGTTTGTTCTGGGTAGTTCCATTTACCCTTTGCATACATCAGATGGAAGCGGATACTAAAGTTAACACACTGGTTCTCAGTCTAAGTCAAAGAGACACTTCAATAGAAAGGATTTTATGGATCCTAATACCACATACCTTTACTAAGCACAAAATAAAATGTTAAAATTCATCATAATAAATAGGAACAGTGTCAATTATTTTTTATAAGAAACCACTAATGAGGTATCTAATATTTATTAAATTTCAAACAAAATCCCTAACTTAAAGAGAAAAACATGTATAGGAACATTATAGCAAGAATAAACATGACCTGATTCTTAAGCAAATATAATCCTCTCTACTGACTGAGCCCAAAGCATCATAATCTACCAAATGCCTCTGGCTCCATAAACATCAATACATTAGGTAAAGAGGGACAGAGCAATGGGAACAATACATAAATAGAACTATCTAAAACCTTGAATTTGAGTTCTACTATATATTATAAGGAAATACAATTTAAAAAAAATATCTGATGAGATGCAGATGCGTGGATGGATGAGTAGGTGAGAGAAAACAAAGGATGTGAAAGTTGTAATTGTTTTCAGGCATATGAAAGGATTTTATGAAGAGAATAATAACTGGACATTCTACATTCTCAAGTGCTTAATTAATAAAAGCAAACGAGTTCTGACAACATAGCAAAGAGTTTGCTCATAAACCTCTTTTCTTAACCAATTTGGTAATAAAGCTATAGAGTGGGAAATAAAGGGATACCTCTGGTAAGAAAATAGAAAATCATCTGTAATGAATTCCTGAGACATATACCTGTCTAACAGAAGAAAAGTAGTTCAGATGATTCTACTCACGTGTGTACCACGTTTCCCCCCAGTATTGGTATCGCACCCAAGGACTTGAGCACATGGCCAAGCACATATACCAGGGAGAGGTAGATGATTGTCCTGTGGAGAAAGTTAAATGAGTCAGTCAATCCTGCATTAGCATTACCCAGAGACTTGGGTAATACAGATTCAGGGGTTCATGCTGTTCTCAGTAAACAGAGGAGGAGGAGTGGAGGAGGAGAGAATTAACCAAGAAACACAAGTAGAAATGATGGTGAATGGAGTAAATAGACTAGGAAAAGGGACTGCAATTCTTCCCTTCACGTTCCTATCTCATATTTACTCCTCTACACCCATTCCACGCATACGTAGATCTCCCACCCCAGCCCACATTGGTTCAGATGTAACAAGAGTAGGGTGGCATTGTAGCCAGAATGATGACCGTTTCAAATTAGGAAAACCAGTAGAACCGGATACCTTGACCAGAGGTGTTTTTCCCAAGGACTGTCTTTTGCTCTAGAAAGACAACTCCGAGTTAACAGGAGTGGCTAAAATAAAGGACTTTCTCTAAACCAACACTGGGATATGGAGAGAGGCTAAAAGCTTCTAGGTTCAGTCTAGGTAGTTTGGATACTTGGTTTAATTGTAGTCTCCACCACAGTTTCCTCATACACAATTGCCAAAGGTAAGAAAGGACCAGAGAGGGAGACCATCCACTGATAAAAATTATACTGTTTGGTAGAAACTTCCTGTGTGTTGTTTTTCCAAGGAATTCAAACGGCAAATAGAAAGAAGAGCAAGGAATTCTAGTGAGAACACATACAGAGATATACACATTGAAATATGCCACTTTACCACCTATCCTCCTTATGTGTCCTACCATACCAGAATTTTCTTGATTCATAAGTAGAATGTTAAAATTATAATGAAGCTTAGGAGTCATATACCATATATCTATGATGATTTTAAAAGTGTTTTATGCTAGGGCTGGGGATGTGGCTCAAGCAGTAACGCGCTTGCCTGGCATGCACGGGGCGCTGGGTTCGATCCTCAGCACCACATAAAAACTAAAATAAAGATGTTATGTCCACCGAAAACTGAATAATAAATATTTAAAAAATTCTCTCTCTCAAAAAAAGTGTTTATGCTAATATGAAAAGTAAAAAATGGAATGAAAGTATCAGAAAGACATTAGAGATGACAGAGACCTTAGGATGTGGATTCTTAATTCTAAATACCTAATTTTCCTAGACTGGTTTTCTAGGAAAGAGACTTTAAAGGGTATTTCATGGTAGGCAGGAAATAAGAATTTGGATGGTTAATCTAGAGCCCATGCATATCAAGGGAGAGGACAGGCTTTCCCAAAAGGTCTTGTGTGATCTTCTTGAGAAAAGTTATCTGTTGGAATAAAAAGAATTTAGAGAGAGAGAAATTGAATGAAATGAAATAAAGTCTACCTATTAAGAACCCCAAAGAAATGATCTATGCTAGATCATCAGAGAGAAGCAAATAAACCAAGGGCGTCTGAGCTGGAGTGATGGAGTCTGAGAGGAAGATCAAATCTTTATCCAATTGTTGGATTGAATGGATGAAAGAAGTGTAAATGGTTTAGGAGGAAAATAGGCTACCTTTTCAATGAAATACCAATAGGTATGAAGGCATAAGAAAGGAAACCAACATCATGAAACATTACCAGAAGGAGAAAGAAGTCAAGAAAGACTTGAAAATTCTGCATTTGAAATAGGATCATCTACTGGATGCAGAACTATTTTAGGTAGAACTGACCAATTCCCCAACTGTACAAATCAGAACACTGAAATCCAAAGAAGTCAAATGAACTTCCTCAAGTACTATTTTCATCAGTAAGAAACTTCTGCTTTCTTACTCATAGGTCAGCATTCCTTGAGTTTTATCACAAACAAGTTGGTGTGGAAAAAGAAAAAAGGAAGAAGTTACAAACGTTATTTCACCATAAAGATATTAAAAGACAGAACCATTTTTAATTAGGTCTTAGAAACTGAGGAGTATATGCAGAGGAAGAGACCTTGCATGAAGTCAAGGCCAGACAAAAGGAAAAGGTGCAGACATCCAGGAGCATAAAAAAACACATTGAAGAGAGTAGTTCTAGAGGTTTACAAGGTCAAGAACCCAGTCTGATAGGCATGGGTCATATGATATAAAAACTAGAAACTATTAGTACTAATATTTTTCTCTCTTAAAAGCAACTGGACACTAAAATACCATCCTCTAACATGTAGTTACCCTCTCAGTCAATGTTTATAGAAATCACTATGAGACCATATGTTTAATAATTTTTGTTTTCCACTATATTGTTATTGGCTAGTTTTCCTCTGTGTGGCCTTAAAGGAAGCCTCACTTCTTCCCACATAGAAAATAAATGGATTTCCTTATACAAGAGTCAGGGATTCTGGTGTCCATTTTCTCTTAACCAGTTTGAATTCTGGAATATTGAACAGAAAAAGGGTTTTAGCAATTGCTGACCATATTCAGGAAATTGTCCCTTGAACTGTCCATTGAACAATATTTCTAATGTTGTTGAAGGTTTTTCATCCTCAAGATAAGACCTGAAATAGGATCATCCTGAAAAAAGTAAACTAAAGTGAAGGAAGGAGTGAAGGAGGAAGAGAGGGAGAGAAAGAGAGAGAAGGGGAGGTGAGGAATAACTTACAGTTTAAAAAGCATAAATTTGCCTTATGTTCCTCCAGCTAGTGAAGAAAGCAAGACTTTGGATTCAAATTAAAGAAGGTGAAGGAGGCTAGCACGGTGGCACACACCTGTAATCCCAGCGGCTCTAGAGGTTGAGGTAGAAGGATTGAAACTTCAAAGCCAGCTTCCGCAAAAGTGAGGCCCTAAACAACTCAGTGAAACTCTTGTCTCTAAATAAAATACAAAATAGGGCTGAGGATGTGGCTCAGTGGTCATATGCCCCTGAGTTCAATCCCTGGTACCCTCAAAAAAGGTGAAAGACAATCTTTCTTTTCTTGACTTTACAACTTAAAAAAAAAAAGGCATAAAATATGGTGGGAAGATAATACTAAAGGCTTATTTCTTTGGATTGTTGTCATTATTCTATTTGTATATGTGGTCTCTCTCTCTCTCTCTCTCTCTCTCTCTCTCTCTCTCTCTCTCTCTCACACACACACACACACACACACACACAATTCGTGTTTCCTCTCACTCTCTTTCTGAAAAAAATATCAAGTCACTACCAAAAGAGTTTTTAGTTCTTCCTTTTCTAGGGCTTTGAGATGAAGTGTGAGCTCATTTATTTGTTGGTTTTTTCTTTTTTTGAGGAATGACCTCCAGGCAATGAATTTCCCTCTTAAAACTGCTTTCATTGTGTCTCATAGATTCCGATATGTTGTGTCTGTATTTTCATTTGTCTCTAAGAATTCTTTGATTTCCTCCTTTATGTCTTCTGTAACCCATTGATCATTCAGTAACATATTGTTCATTTTCCATGAGATGTATGATTTTTCCTTCCTTCTTTTATCGTTGATTTCCAGTTTGATTCCATTATGATCAGATAGAATGCATGGTATTATCTCCACCCCTTTATATTTACTGAGGGTTGCCCTATGACATAATATATGGTCTATTTTTGAGAAGGATCCATGTGCTACTGAGAAAAAAGTATATCCACTTGATGATGGTTGATATATTCTATATATGTCAGTTAAGTCTAGGTTATTGATTGTGATATTGAGTTCTATTGTTTCTTTATTCAACTCTGCATCTGATAGAAGAAAAAGTTGGCTCCGACCTACAGACTGTGGGGTCGGGCTCCAAATTTCTTAATAGGACACCCATAGCACAAGAGTTAATAACAAGAATCAACAAATGGGACTTACTTAAACTAAAAAGTTTTTTCTCAGCAAGAGAAGTAAATAGGGAGCCTACATCATGGGAACAAATTTTTACTCCTCACACTTCAGATAGAGCCCTAATATCCAGAGTATACAAAGAACTCAAAAAATTAAACAATACGATAACAAATAACCCAATCAACAAATGGGCCAAGGACCTGAACAGACACTTCTCAGAGGAGGACATACAATTAATCAACAAGTACATGAAAAAATGCTCACCATCTCTAGCAGTCAGAGAAATGCAAATCAAAACCACATTAAGATACCATCTCACTCCAGTGAGACTGGCAGCCATTATGAAGTCAAACAACAACAAGTGCTGGCGAGGATGTGGGGAAAAGGGTACACTTGTACATTGCTGGTGGGACTGCAAATTGGTACGGCCAATTTGGAAAGCAGTATGGAGATTCCTTGGAAGGCTGGGAATGGAACCACCATTTGACCCAGCTATTCCCCTTCTTGGACTATTCCCTAAAGACCTTAAAAGAGCGTGCTATAGAGACACTGCTATAACAATGTTCATAGCAGCACAATTCACAATAGCTAGACTGTGGAATCAACCTAGATGCCCTTCAATAGATGAATGGATAAAAAAAAATGTGGCATTTATACACAATGGAGTATTACTCTGCACTAAAAAATAACAAAATCATGGAATTTGCAGGGAAATGGATGGCACTAGAGCAGATTATGCTAAGTGAAGCTAGCCAATCCCTAAAAAATAAATGCCAAATGTCTTCTTTGATATAAGGAGAGCAACTAAGAACAGAATAGAGAGGAAGAGCATGAGAAGATCACCACTAAACAGGGATGAGAAGGGGGAGGGAAAGAGAGAGAGAAGGGAAATTGCATGGTAAAGGAAGGAAACCCTCATTGTTACACAAAATTACATATAAGAGGAAGTGAGGGGAAAGGGGGGAAAAAACAAGAGAGAGAAATGAATTACAGTAGATGGGGTAGGGAGAGAAGATGGGAAGGGAGGGGATGGGAGGGGAGGGAAGGGGAGGGGAGGGGGGATAGTAGAGGTTAGGAAAGGCAGCAGAATACAACATACACTAGTATGGCAGTAGGTAAAAAAGTGGATGTGTAACCGATGTGAATCTGCATTATGTATATAGGGTAAAAATGGGAGTTCATAATCCGCTTGAATCAAATGTACGAAATATGATATGTCAAGAACTTTGCAATGTTTTGAACAACTAATAAAAAAAAGAGTTTTTATTTTTTGTTTTTGTTTTTGGTACTGGGGATTGAACTCAGGGGCACTCAACCACTGACCCACATCCCCAGTCCTATTTTGTATTTTACTTTACAGACAGGGTCTCACTGAGTTGCTTGGCACCTCGCAGTTGCTGAGGTTGGCTTTGAACTCTCGATCCTCCTGCCTCAGCCTTCCAAGCCACTGGGATTACAGTCGTGCGCCACAGTGCCCAGCCAAAAGAATTTTGTTATTAGAAAAAAACAAAACAAACTCAAAATACCCACAATAAAATAAAAGACGTGTTCATGCCTGTCCACATCTACACTTAGTCTTGTGCCTATTTGAGGATCTGAGAGTACATAAGTGCATAAATGTATTAATTCAAACATTCATTGTAGTATAGCTCTGACGCAGGAGGCACTGTTCTAGGTGCTATGGATGAAAAAAATATATAATAAATGACTTTGTGCTTCAAGTTTTTGGAAGAAGACTAAGACGTATATCCAAACAATTATAATAAAATAGAGTTTGATAAATGTCAATGATGGTTTAAAAAAAAAAGAGTTCAGAGAAGACTAGATTACTTCTGGCTAGTAGTAAAAAAAGGAGGAGACAGAGAACACTCCATAGTGTAGGTGGTATTCAAGGTGAACCTGAAAGGTTTGTATATGGAAGAGTGCGGAGGAAGGGGATTCCATGAAGTGATACCTCTTTTCCATGTCTACTTACATCATTTTCTACTTCACAGAATCCCTTTATTTAACCTTCATGGTCAAACATGATCAAACTTAATTTTTCCACCTAACTTACTAGGTTTTCAACAGAATGCACTTTGAGAAATGCTAATTTAGATAAATCTATGAATGATGAATCCACAGAAAATAAATGAGCAATGGATATCCAAGATCCATTTCTCACTTAGAAGGACAATGTTATAAAGGACAACTATCACATTATACCATGTATGTCTCTTAGTGCTAGTTTCATGGACTTAAAAGATACTGAAGTTGGCTGGGGTTGTTGTAGCTCAGTGGTAAAGCGCTCGTCTAACGTGTGTGAGGCACTAGGTTCAATCCTCAGCACCACATAAAAAATAAGTGAGTAAAGTTATTGTGTTCATCGACAACTAAAATAATTTTTTTTTAAAAAAGAATCTACAGAAAGAGGCTAAGAAGACAAACAGATGGCAAAAGAGCTAAAAAGAGAAACTGTGTAAGAAGATACCAAAGGAGTTAGGATGACTCAGTCTAGAGGAGATTTGGGGAAAGTATCAAATCACCACATCAAGATCTCTAAAATTATAAATTGCTGATACATAGCAATCTTAATCCTCACTGAGATCAAAACAAGTAGTACGGAATGGACTATTGAAATTAGATTTAAGAAGAAAAAAAAATCTCTGACTGAAAAGGATATGAAAAAATTGAAAAACCTGATAGTGGAATGAAAGAGCTTTTCTGTGTTGTCAGTCTTAAAGATATTCTTATTTGTTACTATGACCTAAGCACGAACCGAGGAAAGAAGCTTCTACCCAATGCGTCTGTGAAGTTTCTAGGAGAGGGACCGCCCATCTTTCTTACTTGAATTTTCCCAGCCACGAGTCAGCAATGATTGCTCCCAGGATGGGGGTGAAATAACAGAGGCTGCTGAAGGCATGGTATACAGATGTGGAGGTGTCTTCGTTCCAATGCAGGAAATACAGGAAATACAGGGTCAGCACAGCTGAGAGGGGAAAAAAAAATAGGAGACAAAAAGGATAGATGCATTAAAATGACTTAGGAAGAAATATATTTGATCTCTGGCCTTGGAAGGTATTTTGGTTTTCAGCACTCTTACTACTGAAGTAACTGGGGCATGACTGCCAAGCAATAAAGCTGGGCCCATGTGAGAGTCAATGGGCCGTGACAACCACACAAACACAGTGCTCCTCCCTTCAGCCTAAGTGCATCCCCGACATCATCTGGGCCAACGATCAAGATAACATGGGGCTTCCAATATCCCTTCCTTCTCCTTCCCAGCAGCAGTGTCATTCATAGACCTGAGGAGAATGGAATCACATGCTGAGAGCTTTTCCGCTTGTATGCTCATAGGCTGTGTTGTGGTTTCCATCTTGGCCAGCATGAGTTATTAGGTGAAATCCCATAAGGCATTTACTCAAGGTCTTGGCCAAAGGAAAAGACCAATTTGCATCAAGGCAGAAAGAGCCGACAAGGGAAACAAGCACATGCGAGATCAGGCTGCTAAAACAGGGTGACTCTAGGACAAGAAATTACCTTTCATGCCATAATAGGAAAAGCGTTCACAGAATTCATTCACCACAATGAAGGCAATGCTCAGTGGATAGCTGGAGCCACAGATTTTCTGTGCGACAAAGAGACAACAGGCATGGGCTGTTTTTCTGTGGTTTAACCGCTTCATTTTCCCACAACTGAAAATTTTATTTATTTTAAATCACAATAGTAGGTAATACGGATCTATATCTCTGTTCTTCATGAAAGAACTCTTATCATTATTAAAACTGCTTCCTTTGCTGACTTAGGAGTAACAGAAGCTAATTTGAGTATTACTTTATTCCTCATTGAATATGGAACTGTTCAGACATTCCTTGATATAGGACCTGCCTACCTTCCCATAACTACTAAATGGGAAGCTGGAGCTCTGGGCAAGAATATAATCCTACTTACTGCTAGAACAGAACAAGGAGATGGCCTATAAAATAACTGATACCCAAGCAGTTAGATTTAGATGTCAGTATCCTGCTTAGCTCCTCCATTGTGGGGACTCACTCTTCTTGTCCCCACCTACCCTATTCACCATCTGGAAGGAATCCTGGCAATATGATGGCTTCCCCTTCAGAGGCTGATGAAATCAGGCAAAGAGCTCAACATGGAGGGCAGAGATTGCTAAAGGTAAACTGATCGATCACCTTGACTTTGGGTGAAGAGTTCTGAAATTCTGTGGAAATTAAATGTCTGCTTTTCTTACTAACGTGATTCTATGGCATCTTCGTGATAATGCTACCAGAACTCAAAGGACAATGTTATAATAATATCAATCAGAATATCAAGATGGTCATGTTTTATTTCAAATCCTTACCCATTAAAATAGCTCCCCTAATGTGAGGGGGGAGGATGGAGATATATCTGTCTTTGGGAGAGCCAAATCTTATCAAGAGATTTATATTGCCTCTAATCTCATAACAAGTATACACATCTTTGTAAGTCTTTAAATTCTTTGGGACCAGAAGAAATTAATAGATAAATGAATACATAGAGTAAATCAATATACTTATTCTTTTATCTGTACAGATGATACACCGGCACCCTGTGAATATAAAAATTTATTACTTTAGGATAATAACTTGCTTGAAATGTGTGTCAAACTGGGGCTTCTTACCTTTCTAGCTCACAGATTGAGAACTAGGTAACTAGAGTTCATTTAACCTATTTGTACTTGCTACATGACATGATTACTGATTGTGTTAACATACTGACCTTGGCCATCCCATTACTCCTGCCTCATTGTCTCAGTTCTGTCATTCAAAAGAAATAAGACTAATATTAGCTCTGGGTCTACAGTAAGAACTCAGCAAATATTAACTATTATTGTTAAAATCTCTCTACTTGTAGGCTTTGATATAAGGATTAAATGAGATAATAAATTTGGAAGTGTTTTAACAAGTAATAATGTATTCTTTGTTTCTCTATCATATCTCCCATTGTAAACTTAGGGTACTTACTAACAGAAATTGGACCTATTCTAAAATTTCTTTTGGTTTTCAGTAGAAGGCTCTGCACACAGGGGTAACTAAGGGCTGAGTTTTCGTATTGGTAAAGAAAGAACAATCACACACAGTTCCCCAGACAGGAATGCTTGCCAACTTTCCCTGGACATTCAAATTGCTTTTTTTCCCCAAGGGTAACTCAGAATATGCAATGAAACCCACAGCAAAACTTTGGATTCCAACTATAAAAACTCTGACTGCCTCTTCCTGCTGCTTCCTCTCATAAGCAAAAGAAATTTCAATATGGATTTGGTTTTCAGGTAAATCTAACTGCAAGAGAGAGAAGAGAAAGAATAGTTTTTATACCCTAATACAGCACAGTATGAAGTTCCAGAGGCCAAGGAGGAAAGCCAAAAGAACAAGGCTACTACTGTCAGAGGCAGAACTGAATTGAGAACTCACCGGAGATGACTTCTTTGGAGGGCTGGGAGGTCTGGGTGGTACCTCTTCAGTGGAGACAGGTGAAAAAAGAGTTTCCTTGGACTCATTTTTCTGGAAAGGATTCATGGCTGGCTCTTTTCTCTCTCTCTCCTCAAGCATTTGGCTTCAGTAGGCAGTTAGGACAGCTGCCAGCCTACAGTGAAAAGGGGGACTGCTGGGAGGAGGGGAGGCTACAGCAACTAGGTTTAACCCTGTAGGTGTCAGTTTCAGAAGCTGACTGGCTCAAGGCAAAACTGGAAGCTACAGGAAAAGAAAGGGCTGGTGTACCAGTTTAAAAGAATGATTGCATACAAAGTAAGGCATGGGGAAGTGAGAATGGATATGTCACACATCACAAGATGAGATTAAACTAATTTGGGTATCTGTTAAGAAAAACTGCAAACAATTACAGTTAAGAACACAACATCTCGAGCAAAGATCAAAAAAACTGATTTTAGGATAATAGCTGTCATTTACTAGATACTATAATGCGCAAAATTTATATATATATATATAATATAAGTTATATGTATACATATATTTATTTATTGTAATTCTCACTACTATTTCTATTTTACAGAACCTAATGTTCCAAGAGTAACATTAGAACTCATGAAAAAAATCACACGGCCAGTAAGTGGCAGATCTGGAATTTTTGCTATGCCATAACACATAGGAAAGGTAGAGATTAGCATCAGTAATCCTCTGGTCATTATTCAGGTATGGAAATTATGTAAATGGAAATGTAGGAATTTAGGGAATTGAAAGGTTTTGAAGAAGAAAAGTCATCAAAACTAACTTTGAGAGTCAAGAAAGATGTTGATTTTGGTTTCAACATCATAAAGTTCAGCGAGAAATGTCCTACAAACATAAATTTAAAAGATAGGGCTCAAGAAGATTAGAGAAAAGAGTGGGTGATAAACATCTGGGAATCATTCCTCTCCATTGCTAATGCCATCCCTTGCAATTTTATTCTTTTTTTCACTTCAATTGAAATCTATCCTTTTATTTTAAAAAAATTAAATTTGTGCAGAGATTGTGAACTGGTTATTTTTCAGGTGTTATTGCAAACATTATTTTCCTGAATTTTCAGTGGATAGACTAATGATTCCAGAATATCATATTTAGTCCTTATCAGAAGAAAAATAAGAATAAACATGATGACAATAGGTGCATTTTCTACATATTATTTTTGTTAAATAGAAAAGATCTGAGAAGAACAAAAGAAAATGATACCCCTCTAGTTCTCAGTCCAATGGAAAGGGGAAAGAATGGCCAAGAGCTATAAAAAGAATAAGAAAATCCAAACCACAAAGTAAATCCATGAGTAAACCATGAGGATCAGGCAACATCAGACTACTTATTTAATTTGAGAATATGAGAGAGAAAACTTATAACTCTATCCCTTGAAAAATTCTCACATTATCTATTTGAATACTTTATCAACCAAAAAGTTCTTTTTCTCTCTAAACTTTAACTCAGACTTTGACCATGTTTTCTTAGCTTCTTTTATACTCTTCATTTCCTCTCTCTCCCACCAACCTTTACCCATAGAATAATACAACTTCATTTCTGACTGTAGCATTAATGATTAGTCTTGGTTATTCTTTTAGGAAGAATAGACCTAGTTTGGCTAAGGACTCTGCAAAACAAAGAAGCAGTCAGAATTTATAAGTCAAGTAGAAATAGCAGGTGCCTTAATGATCTAATTCTGTCCATGGCTTCCCTTGCACTGGTCTTGTACCTCAACAATGACATTTGATCCTGCAGAATAGGTGAAATAGCACCTGTATGCAACGCGCCAATTCATTTGTTTGCAGAAGACCCCAAATACCAAACTTCAGAGAATGATCATTGGTTTTTCTGACACTCCTTTGTTCGGATGAAATTCTTTTGATTATGGCAACAGAATGATAGTATTCATAGAATCAAATATCAAAAGTGAATGGAATCTTTATTTTATTCTTTGTAAACGAAAATTCCCTAACAAGATCAGTTTGAGTAATATTGCATATTCGCCTTTGCCTTGAAAATTCTAAGTCAGTAAATCTCAATAGGGATCTGACTAAAGTTTTTAATAAGCACCACTACTGATCCTCAAGCCAGGAATTTGGGAAACACTGGTCTTAAATTTGTCTCCTATTGTAGCCTGAATGGTATTTCAGAGGAACTCTCAGTGGAAGGATGAAGGACTAGAGTCTCAGGCTCCCAAAGCACAGTCTAAAGACCTTTATATCATATCAGGGTGCCTCTTATATCTTACTATTTTTGGTAAGTTGCCATCAGATAGAAGAATAAAGAAGACAGCATTTCCCAGATAGGAATAGTTTACTCATTCTAACACAAAAGACAATAAAAGTGGAGCAATCTAAATATTAGAATTAAATATCCCATAAAAGTAAAGAATATCTGTGGCCTCAATGATTGTAATATCAGAGTGAAGTTTTATAGTTATATGTAGAAAGGAGATTGAAGACCTGGGGTTGTGGCTCAGTGGTAGAGTGCTTCCCTAGCATGTGCAAAGCACCAAGTTCGATCCCACTTATAAATAAATGAATAAAATAAAGATCCATCAACATCTAAAAAAAGTATTTTAAAAAATTTTTAAAAACAAAGGAGATTGAAGCTCTTATATGATAGTTATCAACATAGTTGGAGAGAAGAGGCAAAAAGGAAGTGTGTTTAACAAGGTCCTGGAATATAAAATCAGCACACACAAAATCGTTTTTAAATATCAGCAACAAAGAAATAGACAAGGGGACTGAGAAAATGAATCAGTTCTAATAGTATAAAAATATGTAGGAATAAGTGTAATAAAAGATATTCAGTAACAACCCTAAATACTATAAAATAGGGCTGGGGTTGTGGCTTAGTGGTACAGCGCTTGCCTAGCATGTGTGAGGCATTGGGTTCGAGTCTCAGCACCACATATAAATAAATAAAGTCCATTGACAACTAAAAAAATTTTTTTTAAAATACTATAAAATGTTTCTGAAAGAAATTAAAGAAATTCTAAATAAATGAAGACAAACCATTCTCATGATTTGGAAGGCTCAAATTGTAAAGATGTCATATTCCTCAAATCAACCTATGGTTTTCACACAAAGTTACAAGTTCTGTGAGTATGGAAATGGCAATTTGAAATTTGAAATTGCCATTTCCACAAAATCCATGTGGAACTGAAAAAAGCCAAGGGTAGCAAAGTCAGTCTTGAAAGAATAATTGTGGAGGACTTCTACCCAACCTTTGACCTATTATAAAGCTATGGTAGTTACAACAGTGACACAAAGACAGACAAGGCAATTAATGGAATAGAATAGAGTTCAAAGATCCACATGTGTTATTTAAAACAAAAGTGATCCCGCACAACAATAGGGGAAATGATTGTATTTTCAGTAAATAAACACCATTTGGATATCCATGTGGGATGGATATGCTTATAAAAACTCAATCCTATATAGATTTCAGATTTACATATTAAAGTAAAAAAAATTTTAAAGGAAAACATAAGAGCTGTGGATTAAACTAAATTTCTTAAATAAGACAAAAAACAGGAGAACCATGAAAGAAAAAACTTGGTATATTGAACAATATTAAAATTAAGAATGATTATCAAAGGACACCATTAAGAATGAAAAGGTGGAGCTGTGGCTGTGGCTCAGCGGTAGCACACTTGCCTGGCACACATGAGGCACTGAGTTTGATTCTCAGCACCGCATATAAATAAATAAAATAAAGGTCTATCGACAACTAAAAAACAAAAAAAGAATGGAAAGGTGATTTATAGAGTGGGAGAAAATATTCATATTACATATACCTATCAAAAGATTTGTGCCCATAGTATATAGATAATTCCAAAAGTCAATTAACAGAAAGATAAGTGAATGGAAGAATGTTAAAAGAATGTGAACAAATATTTCACAAACAGGACACCCAAATAGCCAATAAATCTGTGGACACATTACCAACTATATGAATTTTATATATATAAATATGGTTTATTTAACTCATCCTTAATTAATGAATATGGAAGTTTGGTCTTTTGCTATTGTAATGTTGCAATAATAAGTAATGTTGCAATAATAGCTCTGCACATACACTAAATACATGTGTAGGACAAAATTCCAGAAATGAGACTGCTGAGTCCATAATATATTCTTTTGTAACTTTTGTAACTGCCTATTCATTTTCTTTGCCCATTTTTCTATTGAGTTATTTGTCTCCTTCTAATTCTGCAAGACCTTTTGTGTATTATTGATATTAGTGTTCTGCCATCTTTTACATTGCAAATATTTTCCCTATTGATTTTGTCTGTGGGACTTTAAAACTTAAATATAGCTTGCAATAAGGTACACAAACCTTAACTGTAAAACTCCACTAACATTTGCATATGTGCAACTCACACAACCATCACCCAGATAAAATTAAAAGAAAAAAAAATTTCTAGCACTTCAGTGCTGGAACTCCTGCAGAGAATAATAGCCTCTGCTTCTCTTCTGCCTTCCTGTCAAACCATCTTCTCCAAAGGTAACCAGTATTTTTATTTTCATCACCGTAGATATGTTTTGCCCATCCTGAACTTCGTGTAAATGGAATGATTCTGTCTGTATTTTTGTATTTGATTTATATTACTCAATACTACATCTGTGAGATTCGTCAGCATTGTTGCTTGTAACAAGATCCACCCCACCCATGTTTGGTAGGATTCACTATATGAATATGCTAAAATTTATTTAGCCATTCTTCTGTTGATAGATACTTGGATATTTTATTTTAGTGTTAGTTATTGTCAATTTAGTTTGTACTGGAAACTTTGCTTATCAGAATCACTTTCTTTGTAAGGTTCTGGGCCAGAAGAATTTGTGTGAGGTTTAGAAAGTAGAATCAGCTATTACTCTTAGTGGTCAGAGATTGTGCTCCAACACTTTGAGTCAATAAGGCTTTGTCCTCAGATGATGGGTCCATATGTGTAGGGGAATGCTTCAAAGTTCATGCTGTTTTCATATCTTCCCAGGTTTTATTTTTCATCAGGGCCTTTTGAGTTTTTGTGATATTAGGGTGTGTGTGTGTGTGTGTGTGTGTGTGTGTATGTGTGTTTGGTCTAGAGATTGAACCCAGAGGGGCTTAACCACTGAGCCACATCCCCAGTCCGTGGTTTATTTTTAATACCAAAATTTATTTCTTTTCTTTTCTAGCCAGTAGTGGGACAAAATAATATTTCAGTTCTCAACCTGTTAAAAACCTGTTCAAGTCAGGTCCGTTGGGGAAAAAGTACAGAC